TTATTTTACATATTTGTATAACGAAAAAGATATAGTTATGAAATCACCTTAACAAATTTCCAAGAATACTTTATTAGCTGTGTTGTAACAATATAATACATACACACATTTGTACACGTCTATACATATAAATATAAAATATATTATTATTTATTCTATTGATGCACTTATGCTCACCTTTATATTCGATTATTCAAAAAAGTGTGATAAACAATCTTTTAGAATAAATTTTAATAAATTTTTTCTTATTTTTTTCTTACTCATTTTGCTTGTATAACATATGAGCTAGCTAGTATATAGATAGTTGGTTAAATGTTTTTAATTTTAACTGTCTTTTATTTTCGATAAAATAAAAATAACATATTTTTCCTATGTACAAACACTAAAAATGAGAATAGTTTGAATAAATATTTAAAGTATTACTAACATTAAACTAATATTTTACTATAATTTAAACGACTAATAATCTAATATTGCATTTAAATATGGAAAAAAGCACACTTGTGACGTTAGTTTAAAGTAAACATAAGAAAAAAAATAAAGGTTAAAAATTAGTATCGCGATATTTGTTGTCAAGACGTTAATAATCACAACCGCGCGCAAGTAAATTGCATCGATCGAACATTGATTTTTTGTTTCAGCTTTGTTTATTGTTTTATTCGTTTCGTAGTCATAATATGGCTTTATGATCAGAGGAAATCTTAAGTCAAGGAAATAATTATTTAAAATAAATTCTATTTTTACAAAAAGCACTAAAAAAGAACAGAAAAAACAAATTATTTTTCTCAATTTTAAATCTTAACACTAAAATCTTGGTTTATTTATTAAAAAAACTTAATAAATCTTATTTTTTTTATTTTTATCTCTAATTATTTGTGGTGCATACAATATTTATATATATGTACATAAGGAGATGAGATCTTCAGAATTTTGTTTTTATAGAATGTCCATGAAATACTTGAAACAACATTAACGAAAATCGCAGCGTTTTGGTTTTTGTTCTTAGATTAATAATTTGGATCACAAATAATACCATAAAAATTAATTTTAAATTATTTGCAAAAAATTTTCAATATAATAATTTAATGTCGTTAATTTTAGAATAAATTGAATCCAATTGAGTGCTTGTCGGTATTATGGAAGAGTCACGAAACTGCTTTTTTATATTTCAGATTGGAAAATTTGGCATTTTTATAAAATTCAGCATTTTTATAGAAAACTTACGAAATTCTAACGTTGATAGTTTCTTCAAAATAACGTTGTAAATTTTTCACATATTTGCAAAACAACATTAGGACATTAACATAAAGTTTCGTTTAACTGCTAAAATTCAGAAGAAACATTCATTTACAATAAAATTATATGTGTTTCTAAAAATATTACCAAAAATTGGTAGAAAAACGTTTTATAGCATCACAAGCTTTAAGCTTGTTTGCGATAATCGATAAATTTTTTGGAAATTTTCAAATGTGTTTTTGTCGAATAAGTTTTATAATAAATTTTAAAGGCTCCAATAAAATCTAAAAAGCCTAAAATTCGAATGATTGGTATTCCGAAAGCACAAAATACATAATCAAGTATGCTGTTTATTTTTAGCCCTTTACTAGACCTCTCAGAAACTGTTTGTTTGAAGCCCCTATTTTTTTCGGAACGGAAGTTATAATAAAGAAAACTTAGATTTTAGAAATTTCGTGAAAATTCGTGAAAATCCCTGTATCTCGAAAACCCTTGAGATTTCGCACCTACTTCGGAACAAAAGTTTTACCCATTTTCGACCCTTTAACCAATGGTATATGTTGTAGTATATCTTTCTAAATCACCCTGTATATATGTATATAATATTTTACATATCTTATTACTTCACTGAATTGTTTTTATGATAGTACCAAACTACACATATCGAATTTTCAATGGAAACGCGCATTTCTCCGTAACAAACTACTTTTAAAGAGAGGCCAGTCTGTCGGTCAGCAATTTTGTGCATAAGCTCCATTTGAGTTGACAATTTATGTTGACAAGCCATGTTGCTTTGCTATATCTGACAATAAGACAAGCGGCGCAGCTTCCCGAGGAAATTAGGTGTATACGGAAAGGAATTAATCAACCAATTTTCTTGACATTTAATATTTAAACTTTGGGTTATTAAAACAATGAACTGACTAACATAATGTTAAAATTACATCTGTTAAACAGTGGTTCTTTGTACCTCTGCGTTTACAGATTTAGAAGGCTACCAAGGTATGTTAAAAACAAGGGTATAACAATATACCCATATAGTTACATAACTCTGAATTATAACTTATAAATTTTCATAATCTTGTACACAGGGCTGCCTTTTAATTTTCTGAATAGGGAGTAGAAATATTTAAAAAACGGAGAAAAAGGGGAGCCAATTCCCATATTTCATAAAAAAAATCTTATTTAGTCAGCACTTAACCGACCGCAACACCTAGAAAAATATAAATAGGCTCTTAGTAGAATTTCATTTTGTGCCGCCCGAATTATACGAAAAGTTCATCAGTACTTCTGTTAACCATCAGAACTCCAATTTTAAATTTCAAGAAATTCCATTAATCCGTTCCGTAGATAATGTAAAAAATGAAAAATCGGCCCCGGGATCATTTTCCGAGCCCTGATCTCCCCAGGAACTTAACTTTAACTGATTTGAGTTTAAGGAGGAGCTGAGGACACAAATTTTCTAATTCGACAGCCCTGTCGAATTAGAAACGACAAGCCCTGCAACACTTTCGTTAAACTATAAAAATAAACTTCGCAGTCAATTGTGTGCAGATCACGCTAAATTTATGCTAAAAAAATTTGTTTTCAAAGTTTCTTATAAAGTTATATTAAAGTGCTAAATGCTAAATTTTTTGAAATTGAAAACACTATTTTGTTTGCCAATGTCAATAATAAGTGGCATAAGTTCGTATGTAGTTGGCTATACCTACCTGATTTTAAAGTACACAATAGAGTGTACAGAAGAGTACTAATTTACCTCTTTTTTACAGTTTTATTAACTTTGGTTTATTTGGTCACCTTGAAATATTTTCATTTTAACTCTTTCAATACCAGTTTTCAGTTGAAAATAAATCTATTATTAAAATTTAACAGGTAGCAGAACATTAGAACAAAAAATAATTCAAATTTTCAAGTTTTCTTATATTTTTAAAAAAATTGAAGTTATGGAAGAGAAGTATATACCGGTATGGAATTTTTGTATAAAGCCGTATCTTTCATAATTCTTTAACACTTAACGTAGACAGCCGCCATTAATTGAAATAGTTTTATTTTATTATGTTAGTAAATTCGGGTTTTTCAGTGCTGTTCTAAGTTGAATCCCGTCGGTCTGTCTGTCTGTATATGCGCAGGTGTATTTCAAGTTCGGCTGAACTGATTTTCATAATATTTTATATATAGGTTTATTTCGACTATGTAAGTTACTACTTTAGTTACTAGCATGATAAATTTTATTTTTCTTACTTTTTAAATTTGATTTGGGAGTGTAGTTTGATTAAATATTCCAAAGCCTACATTTTCGATTAGATTTAAATGAAATTAAGTCTAATTAAATTTTCTTTTTAAAAAGCAGCACATTTAGCAAAGAGCAAAAGAGGGGGTCTCCCAAATTAAAGATTTGCCATTAATTTGTTTTTTCTAAATTTTGGTAAAATCTGCAGGAAGAATTGATTTTATTGGTGTTTACAAAAATGTCCCAGTAAAGTCAAAATCAAGTCAACTTGATAGATTTCTATAGAATAGTTTTTAATTTGAAGGAACAAAACTAAGTTTACAAGTGTTCTTACGTACCGAGGCTCTTAGGCCCTTCTCACATCCACCTCTAGAATCCTCTGTGATTCTCATTCTCACCCGCATTAGCTCTACGTGCAGGACCCTGAAAAATTGCAATACTGTAGTCACCCCAAGACGTACGACATCGGAGTCGCCTAGCCCCCCGAAGTATTTCAGTCGTAGGAAAGCCAATAAGTGCTCCGTTGTTTTATCCACATCCAGATAGAGATGCCGGACCTCGCTTTCCGTCTTGCTTATCCTTTTCAGAAGAACCATCGAGAGTCCAGCGAACACGACTTCCAGCAGCCTTAAATCTGGACATTTCAAGTCTAAGACAGCCTCGTCTCTAAGGTAAGATGCCCAGTTCAGAGATTGATCCAGGATCACTACCAGATATTTGACCTTCTTGGATGGCTCAGTAATTCTGCCCCCCCAAGGAAGTCGGACACAAACTACATTTTCCTCGACTAATGAAAGCAGTATAGCTGACTTTCCACGGTTAATAGTCCAACGCCCTTAGTTTGAGTCCAGTTCCAATGATGTTCAGAGCTCTCTGTATTCGGTCAACTTCGACGGCATCATATTGGTTCCTCAGAACAACGACCAGATGATCAGGGCAGCCTTACACATTATGCCCCTCTGATAGCTTATAGGGAAACCGTCCGTTACCATGCACCAAATAGAGACGACAAAATCCTTTTCGTGCAGTCACACATGTATAAAAATAGTGAAATTGACGCCTCCCACACCGACCTTTTTTATTCAGGATTGCAACGTAGCCCATTCCAAAGCGGATGTCTTAACTACCTTGTTTGTAGCTGTTCTAACTATCGAACATACATGCACACATTTAGTTTGGATTGACTTCAAATGTCGTAAGTTATAAATTCAAAGTAAAAGACACCACCGCTCTGTTTAAACGGCGATAAAAATGTTTTTCTTATTATCTTCATTTCTCATCTGCTGTTTTTCCTAGTGTCGTGTATAACAGAAAAACAACTCCTCCTTCTTTTTTACAAAATAAAAATTTATTTACTTATTTAAAATAAATTGCAACTGAATTCATAATTTTTAATTAATTATATAAAATCTTGCTAAAAACTTTATTTACAAAACATATTTTTCTAATTTATATGAAATCATTTATAATCTTAAACATATTTTTTTACAGTGCTAAGAAATATTGATTAACAATTAAATACTTTTATTTATATTATTCAAATTACTTATTTATTCTATAAATTAATTAATCTCTAAGGAATGTAGAGAATTTCCGTAATACTAATAAGTTATTGTCATTATATATGCGTTTAATAGTAATGCTATTTTGGCTCAACTTGTTGATGAGCCACAAATGTAATTTTGAAACTTTATTGAATTGCATAAATTATATTAAAGCAATTTCAAATTAAATTTTAATAAGGAATTTGATAAAAATTCGTTTACTAGTCAAAAAAATTTTCAGTTCAAAAATTTTCAGTTTTCAGTTCAAGTAAATTTGAATCAAAAGAGCTTTAAAATAGATTTAAAAAGATTCCCGAGTGCAATTGAACTTAATTTAATTTTATAAATACATAGCATCACTATTCCAGCATTATTTTTCTTTAATTAACGTTTCCTTTAAATAATGTGTTTCAAAGTTCTGGTACTAATTTCCTATTTGAATTTGATTTTTTACAACTTATGTTTTCTAATATTGGCCTGTTTCAATAAAAAAATTATTTACAAATTATAAATTCCATTGGGTTTCATTTAATTCTCTTCTAAATTGTCTAAAGAAAAAATGCTTTAGTTAAATAAAATTAATTTATAAATACAGCACTGTACTAAATTAAAAATACTAAGAAATTTTTTAAAATAAATAGTGTGAAAAGAAAATAAAAAACTATAAATATATAAAATTGCACTAAGCCAGCCATTATACTTTACAATGTGAGATTTATTTTTTTTAATATAGACTTTAGTAGTTCTAAAGTAAACTTCAATTCATCTTCGACCATCTGTAAAGAAATTTAAAAGTTCTCAAATTATTTCAAATAAAAATTTTATCATTTTTATATAAAAAAGGGATTTGTTTACAGAGTTTGTAAACGAGAAATGATACCATAAGACTCTTTTACCATGTTTAAGAAAAATACAGTTAAGTTTGCTTAGAATAATATTAATAAAAAGCATCAAACTCACCTTTATCATGTTCTTCTTTAATATCAATGCAAGTTTTAATATCATTTGTGTGATTCTTACTAATGGTACTATTGTTATCATTACTACTATTGCTAATATTGCTATTATTATTGCTATTGGAATCAGTGCTAGAATTACTTGCTTGTGGTGAAAGGCTATTATTGATTGCTTGTAACGTTATTATTCTTCCATTATGATCCGGTGGCCAATGTGGATGATGATGGTGAAGATGATGATGATGATGATGATGATGATGCGAATGAGGATGATGTGATGTCATTGACATTTGATGCAATGGCACTTGTACTGTTATACCATCTGGGGTTAAGCATGGCACACATGCAGAGCTGCCATTAACACCGCATGAATCATTCGTAATCGTTGATATCGGTATAAATTGCTCTGACATCCAGTCAAACGAGAATGCTTGACCACATGTTTGTAATGGTGGAGCGCTGTTTGGTGTTGGTGGCGTTGTGGTGGTAAAATAAGGGCTTAGTTCTTGATGTGTTATATCGGGAGCTTTTTGTGCTGTTTCTGACCAAGGTGGACTTGGATTCCATTGATCTATTAAATCAGGCGGATCAGTTGGTAAGATTTTAGTCAGTATTCTTGAACGATTTGGTGGGACAACAACAGCCTCATATGCAAGTGAACCACCACCTCCCCCGCCATGTTCACCAAGGATCCCAATTCCACCACCGCTATTACCACCGTTGTGACAATATTGATTATCTAAATCAGTTATACCAATATTACTTGACTCAGGACTTTCACTTTCAATTATGTACAGTGGTTCCAGTTTGTTAATAGCTCTACGTTTTGTTGGCGGTGATACAGGATTTATTCTAGCATTTGAAAGTGAATGATGATGGCTTCCCGAACTGGAACTATTTGTTGAACTACAACGAGGTTCAACTGATTCTGGTGGTGATATATTATTTGGAGGCTGTGGTTGCTGATGTTGTTGCTGTTGGGTATGCTGTTGATGCTGTTGTTGTTGTTGATTAGGACTATTACTAAAATCGACAGGCTCTAATCTGTAAGCTGAGTATGGTCCTATCATACCATTACTGTTACCATTAGGATGTCCCATTACATGAGATGGTGAAGATTGTGGTGGACCAATACCTAACGGTGAATGGTAACCATATGGCACATGATGTGATGGATGATGATGACTTGAGTAACCGTGTGGGGTAAGATTTGTAGGTAATCCACCTGGATGATGTGAATGATGGTGATAGTATGTTGGTGTGGGTGGGACACGTGTTGGACCTTCAAATGGTATTCCGAATTGTATTTTTGATTGTACGGAATAATAATGATAAAGCCATGAATTTGCTAGCATCACAGAAGCTTCTTCTTCACTTTAAATATAAAAACAAAAAATCAAATTAAGAAAATAATTAAAACTTAAAAAAATTTATTAAAATTTACTTATACAGGGTTTTTATACAGGATGTCTCATAACAAAGTGCGCTGCTATATACCATTGTATAGGCCTTCATGTGTAGACAAAACTTTTTATGGAGACGATGTTCACAGCTCAACAGGTTCGGAGTTACAGGGACTTAAAGTCAATTTCGACCGATTTTTTTTTCCTTTTTGAAATTTTAAGTATAACTCCGCGTCTGTGCAAGATAGGCACATTATTAAGTATGATTTGGAAGTTTCAGAGTAAGGGTTTTTCCAAGAATATCCACATTAGTTATAATCTGCTCAGATTTCGGAATCACATGACTTTAAATTTCGAAAAACTTAAAATTTTCACTCTTCATTTTTGAAAAACATTAACTTTGTAGGTTACGTAACATTGGATGCTTTTCCAATTTTAGCACAGGTGGCACCGTTGACAAATGAGCTTCAATTTGGTATAAAAGTCATTATGTTACCTGACCTGGTTTAGGAGTTATAAACAAAAATAGAGTATTATAAATGCACATTTTTTTTCTTCAAGGGCTTAGGTACAACAACCGTTCAAAATGGTCTTCCTGTTCTGTTATGCAAATGTTCAACTTAGCAACCCAATTTTCCTCACATTTGCAAAAAATGATGGCCCGAAGAATATCATATGGCGCCTCTCATTGATACAGCCCTGTAAGTCACTTTTGATTTCAATAATATTTTAATAAACAAAGATTTTTACAGATGGAAGAGTACGAAAGCGAAAATTCTAGTTCCCTTTTATTGTGCACGATGTGATTATGCAGTAAAAAGCTTACTATTTGCGTCGCAGAATTGTTTTAATAGTAATTTGATAATAAATTTATAAAATCATGAATTGGAAGAGGGTCAACAGTCTAACGGTCAGCAAGAAAGATCGATTTCGATCCTTCCGTCCTTCGAGTCCTGAGTTCCATCCATGCGCCAGTTGGAAAACTTAATTTATTAAAAGAACTGGAAAATGAAAAGCTTTGGGATAGAAAGAAACTTTAAAAAAAGTATGACAATTTCAGAACTTTCACGGCTGAAAACACTTTTGTTATGTTCTTTCTGTTGTTTAAGTTATTTAAGTTTTAAGTTAGAAATGCGAACGCATATTGCATTTTCAAAAACAAATCTTTTAAGAGTAATAAAAGATCACTATGTATGGATCAATTATATGACTTTTGTTTGCTCTATATTATTTAATTGTTTCATCCTAAAAGTCTTTTGGTAAACCGAGAAACGAATAAAAAAAATTGAACGAATGAATGAAAAAATGTTGACATAAATTGGAAGTGGCCGGGCCAAATTACGCAATACAGTTACTTACTTTTCAAAAATTGTTGACATTGCTGAGTGTGCATTATGGGTTTTTGCAACAAAAGATGAAAATATTAATTCAAGAATTGAACATGCAACTTACGCGTTATTTTATTGTTTCAAAGTCAGCCTGTTTTTTTTTAGTCTATTGTTATTTGTATAAAGACCATTTTATTTTTATCTTTTGTGATACTTTCATCACATGACTGGAGAAACAAGAACAAAAATTAGTTGGGAAATATTTCCTTTTTGTTAAAAATTATCTCTGAATAAAAGTAACAATTGTTTTGTTTTATTTGTTGTATTGTAATTTTATTTAACTTGAGACTGGCTCCATTTAGCATATGTAGACCTCTTTTAGTATATATATGAGACCCAACCTTTGAACTTTATAGTCTGCAAATAAAATTTATTTGCAAGAGATTTGCAGCCTGTTCATGTAATTCTCTGCTTTTCCTTTTTTTTCTTTATTATTGAATTGAGATTGTGGAGACAATAAAAGACACATAATCGCGCATTGTGTTCTACGTATATGTTTTGTTGTAGGATGAATATTATAATAGTAATATGATTAAATCAGTTGCAATATGTAAAAACGATGATGATCGTCATTACTATCAAAGAAAATAGCTGAAAAAATCTGGATTTACCATTGATAGCAATATTGCGTATACCACATACTGTAAAATGAGACTTTGTTATATTCAAAGGAAATTTGGTAGGTATAATGGAATGAAACTTTTTCTTTATTTTATAATTTATGTTGAAAGTGGAAATTTGTAGACTCATATTAAGAAAATTGCAAATTGAAATTTACATATAAACTAGGAGTTTTTCATTCATTAAGCAGCGATTTTGCTATTAAGTGGACTTGTACATATGTGTACATATTTTTATTTTAGGCAATTATACGAAACATGAATTTGATATTGTATATAAGAACTAAGTCTCCCCAATAAGCGAAAATTGGGTCAGTTGATAATATTATAGGGATGCAAAGAATGATGTATAAATTTATGTTTTAGCATTGAAATTGCACTTTGATCGAGGTCAAACAAGGAAACATTTTCCTTAATGAGTTCAGTAGCTCATATTATGATTACGAGCGAAATTTTAAATAATTTCCGGAATTTATTTGGCTACAAGTCCTGTTCAGAAAAATTTTACTATGATAAGAATACATTTTGTATGTTGCAAATGAAATTCACAATGTTGTTTGGTTACTTAAAAGATTTGAAACTTTGAAATTTCAACCGTACAACATTTTTAAAGATCAGTCTGTGTTATACGTGACAACAAAATTTTAGTTTTTGTTTAAGTACTGTCACAAATGATAACTGTTATGTTTGCATAAAAGTCCGAAATACTGTAAGGTGGCATTCTCTCCGTATAACAAAAGATGAGCATCCCTAAAAGTGTATAAACATGATCTCAATTACAAACTAAAAAATGTTCCCACAATTTTGTAAACTGATATTTATATGGAGTGAGTGGTTGTAGAAGGGTTGCCGTCTTCTATCGAGTTTGGTTGAATTTTACGTATTTGAATGTACATGAATGTGTAGAAGTCGTAGATGTTCTACTGATAACCTTACAATAATTAAATTGCAGTGTTGCAATTTCTATAATTGTTGTTAAATTTTTCAATGTTATTTCGTGTAATTGAATATCGATCTCACATTATTTTCCTTTAATATTTTATACTCATAATAATATGAATAGTTAGTAATTTTACTCTTGTTAAACATAAATTAGAATTGTTTATTTATCGATCAATAAATTTATTATCATTATTAAAAAAGAATAAGAAATAAATACAAAAAAAATTTCAATAAATTTATATGAAAAATGTGAATTATTTGAAGACTCTATGTTATAAAGTTTACCATTCGCATGGTATATGATCCTTTATTTTACATGTGAAGTTTATATTTTTTTTACTTTACCGAAACTCAAAAATATTTCAAATCTGTCTCTATTTTATGATATATTTGTTTTAGAAATTAAATATTGGTACAGAATGGATACTGCCATAAAATATAAAGTAAATATTGTGAAAGCAAAACATGTGCATGTACGGGTATATCTCAAGTCTAAAATACAGTAATTTTAAGAGAGGAGAATTTTGGGCGAAAAATTTTATGAAAACGGTCTTGCTGAAACTGCTATTTCATTTATAACATTTAATCTATAAAGTTTCTTCAAGCAGAGGGTGGCGAAGTTTGAAAATTTTTAAATGTTAAATCTGTAAGAAAATATTTCGAAACACTAATTTTCGAAAAGATTCAAATTTAATTTACCTCCTTTCGAATATATTATTAAGTGTTAATTTTTAAATTTAAGTAAATAAAGTGAATAATTTGGGGAATTGTTCTAACTTAGAGATTAACATTACTAAAACCTATGTATTTACTACATTATATAGTATATATGTATATCTACCATAATATATATAGTATATTAATATATGCTATACATATATATTATGATAGAAAAAATTAATTTAAGTCTGAAAAAAATGAAGTATTTAAGCGCACATTTGTTTTTGTTGTAGGCAAGCCCAAATTTATGATTATGTGTTTGCAGGTTTTGAGGGCAGGACGAGTAGTTCTCGGCACATCTTCTGAGGGAATGCGGGGCAGAAGGGCAGTACTGGGAAACTACGTGCTCACTCCAGCGGAGCTGCGGTCTACCAGCCCTTTAAAGTTGCTTGAACAGGAGGATGGGTCTCGAGAATGTGTTGCTAGGTTTTGCCCCGCACCTAGTTACCTCTTCGGTGCGCTGCTACCTTTTCTTTGCAATCTACAAAACAAAATATTCTGAGCAGCTAATGCAAGAATCCCTGGGATCTTGGTTAAGAATTAATATTATATACTTTAATTTTTTGTTTGTTAATAGAGAATATGAACTTTTGAACCCCTGTTATACCTATACTGCGTTAAAATAATGGAAGATTAGCGTAAAAATATTATTTTGAGGCTAATTATAAATCCTTAATTAAGAAACTGAATGACAAGGTTAACTATGAAAAAAATTATTTATTAAATTTTTTGTATTATAAAATTAATTTATGTAGTTCCTCAAGTGCAGATTAAAAGCACCATTATGATGAAAAACCTTATTATACCTTTCTCAATTCCAAAAATAAAAAAAACTTTTTGTTTTTGAAAAAAATTGTGGTGGAATTTTTGATTGATGACGTTTAAGGATTTTATCGACAATATTTATTTACTATAGCTAGGAAGAGCTAAGTGTATAAAAAGGGAGAACAGCAACAGAATGACGACCAAAAACCAAGAAAAAAATTTACACAATAACAAACTATCATACAGTTTATTTTATGCACAATAAGAGAATATTGATTTTTTTCATAAGATGCGCGCGCTGGTACTTTAAACTTATTTTTACGTATGTACACATAATTGATTACATAAAATTATGCAGATATATGAAGGATAGTTTATATTGATTTGTTAGTTTCATATAAATTTGATTTAAATTCTCAAAATTTCTATTTCGGCTGTTATTTTTTATGCGTCCAGCAAGACGTATTCGTTATTTGTTTAATATTTGTCTGTCATGAGTTTAAGATGTAGCCCAAAATAATTATCGATACAACGTG